GTGGAGAACAATCCAGGAAGAAAATGAGAAAGTTGATAAAGAAATAGAATCAATTAAAAAATATATAAATTCTAGAAATAAAAAAATACATTATCTAAACAGAAAACTTGATAGGAAGCTCCAAAAGAAGACTTGATTGAACAGAAGAAAAAGTCAGTGAGAACAATTGAAATTACCCAATTAGAAGAGAGAAAAAAAAAAAAAAAAACCGAAATGCAGTAATTATGGAATTCTCTCAAGCAAAATAACATTTGCATAATTGGCATACCTGCTTAAACAGCAGACTAGAGCAAGCAGAAAAAAAAATTTTCTATCTTGAAGAGAGTCTTTCTCTGTTCTGAATGATATATAATATATAGTATATGAATAATATATAGGTTTGTCATATATGGTTTTTATTGAGATACTTTTCTTCTGTACCTATTGTGTTGTGAGTCTTTGCATGAAGCAATGTTCACTTTTGTCCAGTGTTTTTTCTGTGTCTATTGAAATGAATTTTGTCCTTAATTCTGTTCATGTGATCTAATGAATTGCCTTACCTTTTGTTTGTCTGGGAAATACTTTATTTCTCTTATATATTTGAAACTTAGTTTTGCTAGATACAAAATTCCTAAATGATAGTCTTTTTTCCTCATCACTTTGAATATATCATCCCACTGTCTCCTGGTCGATAGGGTTTCTACTGAGAAATTTGTTAATCGCTGTATTTTGTATTTTGTATTTCGTATTGCATTGGGACTCTGTTGAATGTGTTTCTTTTCTCTTTCTACTTTCAGTATTCTTTATTTATTTTTTTTTTTTGTCTTTGGATTTTGATAATTTGTTTATGATATGCCTTGGGGAGTTCCTTTTTGGATTGAATTTGACTGGTGACCTTTAAGCTTCCTATACCGGAATTCTGTCATCTCTCTTTACATGTGGGAAATCCTCAGCTATTATTTTCATAGTTATGCTTTCTAAGTCTCCTTTTTCTTCTCGTGTAGGTATGCCAATTATGCAAAGGTTATTTTGCTTGAGAAAATCCCATAATTGCTGGATTTCTGTTGCTTAAGCACTCGGTTGTATTTCTTATTATGTTGAATGAATCCTTCAGTTTTATGAGTTCTGCTATGTTCTTTTTAAAAGGTATTTATCAGTTTATAAAGTTTCTCCCTTTTTTCATTTGTTGTGGCTCTTTGCTCCCATGTGGATCCACGGGAACCCTATTAGTGGTCTTGCAGGCCTGGGGGCCACCAAGGCCCTCTTGTCCCCTGCCACCTCCATGCAACTTTATCCAAAGGGCACAGCTGTGGCTTTTGCTGGCTCCTGCTCATGCACTTAGCAGCTCCAGCCTGGAAGTGGCCAGGGCTCGAAGTGGTCAGAGAGGTTTTTTTTCTTTTTCTCATTGTGGCTTCTCTGGCCTTTATTCACTCCATAGGTCCCTCCTCCTCTTCCTCTGAGCTCTAGAAGCTCCAACTTGACTGTCAATGCTTTTTAATAGTTGTAAATCAATTGATTTGTTTGGAGAGAGTGAGACTGGGGACCGTCTATTCCACCATCTTAACCAGAGGCATGGAGCCAGGGACCAGACCCTCTGCCTACAGCCAGGCACACTGCCAGCACCATGGGGCCCACCTGGGGTCCTGAGGTATGGAGTCAAGATCAGGTCGACTCCCACAACCAGGCACATCACCATTGCCACCACCAACTAGGTAAGGAGCATGCCAAAAACATCATGGAAGTGTGGGTGGCCCACCACAGCCACCGCAATAACCACAACTGCCATGAAAGTGGAAAGATGCCACAACCACCATGCAGATGGTCTGCCAGCCACTGGAGTGCCTTAACAAGAGGAGAGTCACTAGTAGAGACCAAAGAAATGAAGAGGATGTCTTTCTCCACAAAGTTCATTCCAGATTGACAGAAGAAGCATCTACTCTGTGATAATATTGGGGGACCTGAACACACCTCTCAGCATTGGACAGATCATCTAGGCAACAAATCAACAGAGTAATCATTACTCTTTCAGAAGGAGAGAAGAAATCTAGGGTAATTACAGGTGGGATGAGGGAGAGAGAGAGGTGGATGGAGAGACATTGGACAAGGGGCATAAGGAATAAGTATGATTTATAACAATATGTGCTAGTAATATTGATTTGATCAACATATGTCAATGTTGAACCCCCAATATATGTATAATCAATCATGATTCAATAATTTTTTTTTAAAAAATCACAAACAAAAAAAAATTTTTTTAAATAAAGTTTGGGGCCAAGCCGTGGCACACGCGGGAGAGTGCGGCGCTGGGAGCCCAGCAGCACTCCCACCGCAGGTTCGGATCCTATATAGGAATGACCGGTGTGCTCACTGGCTGAGCGCAGTGCAGCCGGTCTCAAAAAAGGACCAAAAAAATAAATAAATAAATAAAATAAAGTTTGTCCTTCATATCCTTAATTGTTTTTTCTCTTTTTTGTTGTGTTGTCTATTTGAGTCTTCTTGTATCTCATTGAGTTTTCCTTAAAATTGTTATTTGGGGAGAGCCATGGGTCAGGCGGCCAAGGTTTTACAGCTCTTTAAAACACTGCACAGGACCAGACAACAAGTTTTTAAAAATGATGCCAGAGCATTAGAAGCCAGAATAAAGATAAATGAAGAATTCAAAAGTAATAAAAATGAGACTTCTCCTAAGAAAATAGAAGAGGGTCATCTGCCTACACCCAAAAGACAACAAGTTGCCCTGTGAAAAGAACATGGAAGTACCCATGGTCAAAGTAAGAGCAACTGTACCAACCCAGAAACCCAGAGAAATTCTGTCTTCACCTAAGCTAATGAAAACAGGTTCTGATGTTGAATTGTTACTAAGAACATCTGTCATTCAAGGTATTCACACAGACCACGATACACTCAAATTGGTCCCTAGGAAAGACCTTCTTATGGAAAATGTGCCATATTGTGATATACCAACCCAGAAGCAATGAATATTCTAGGATAAAACAAGTCTTTGCACTTTTTAACTTTAAAATACACAACTCTGGCAGAAGTCCTGCAAATGCAGACATTTTTCCTGAACTGGCATATTGAAAGATAAATGAATTAAAGAATAGCTTCATAATTAAACTTCATGTTGAAAGGACATCACTGAGAACTGCAGAATTTAGTTATGTATTTCTAAAGGACATTCAATAAGACGACATTTTATTTTCATTTATATTCATTTCATTTTATTTTATTTTTATTAAAGTGAATTAAATGCTTAAAATTAAAAAAAATGTTATTTGGAATACTTTTTCAGTCATTTCACAAGTTTCCTGCTGCTTGGGGTCTGGTACTTGAGAATTATTGTATTCCTTTGGTGGTATCATATTTTCTTTTTCTTTTCTGTGTGTTGGTGTGTGTGTGTGTGTGAGTGTGTGTGTGTGTTTCTAGTTTCCTTACATTAATGTCTTGTCATCTGGTGGAGTAATTGCTTCTTCTATTACTCTGACATGGCTTTTGAGGAGAGATACTCCTTCCTGGAGATGGCTTTTATATTGACAATTGGCCCTGGCCAGACCTGCAGGCACCCCAGCTAGTGTTTCATGCCCCTTATAGTTGCACTGGGGTGTACTGAAGTTACTCAGCTTGAAATGATGGCCCTGGGTGAAGTTCTTTCCTCTTTCCTTTGGACAGAGGCTTCTTCTGGGTCTTTGCTTCTCTCTCTTTCCTCCTGCCTGATGAAACATTGGGACACCTGTATCTGGGTGAGGTGAAGCTGGTGGCGCATGGGCTGGGTGTTGCAGTGGGGAGTGAAACTGACTGCTGTGTGGAGAGAAGGGCAACTGCAGTGGTAGTGCTCTGGGGTCAGTGGGTGGAGGCAGCAATGGCCATGAGGTTGTGCTTTCCTTCTTGGTTCAGGTACTGGATTTCCAAGGACAGGGCTGCTGAGATTCTTCTCAGGAGGTGGGCAGGATCACTGTGTGAGCCCTTAGTGGAACACCTCATTCTTCCTCTTGTTGGCATTGGGTGGGGCCACTAGCCTGATGCATGTCAGGGGACCTGGTTGGGATGCCTGTGGGTGGTGGGGAGAGTCTCTAGGCAGTTCTACAGTGAAGGAGGTGCATTTGTTTCTGAGTGTTTTGGCAAAGTTTCTAGGCAGGACCATTCAGAGTGGAGCCACTAGGCCAACTCTCTGAAATGGGAAGATGCTCATTATTTCCACCAGCCTGAGGGTATATTTGTTAAGGTAGAGACCCATGAGCTATTTTTCCAACTTGGAGACTTAAGCATACACAACTCAGTCAGCAGCTGGGGGTGGTCCACCTGAGGAAGCTCTGCCTGTTTTATCTCTGTCCTGGGATGTGGGGGTGTGTCAGTTCAGGAGGACTAAGGTTGGCTTTCCAAGCTGCAGAACAGAGTCATAGCCACTATGAGCTGAGGCTTCCAACTGCCAGGATCAGGGCATTTCGGACTCTCCTGTGAGTGTGCTGGGTGGAGGGCAGAACATTAAATATGGAAAAACATTGTGGCTACTGGCCCTAGAGCAGGGCGTGCTCCCATAAGAGCTCTGATTTCAAGATGGTACCAATATGTGTCAGTTTAGGTCCCTAATTTGGGGAGTTAAGGAAGGCACCATTCATGCTAATATTCTAAGGCACTTGTCTTGTAGGGTGCTGGCCATCCTTGGCTTCATAGTTGCCTTGCCAGAAGATCTATGGACCTACAGGGTGAGGATGGAGGTTGATATGGGTCCTCTGCCTACCTTTCTGCTGCCAGGGAAATTCTTACTACTTCAATCCCAGTGTTGGAGACATGGCAGCTGAGGCCATGTGCCTCTCTCTCTTCTCTGTTACCCCCTAGGGTTTTTATGCTCTTGTCAGTATTTAGCTGTCTGTTACTCGTTACACTTCTTTCATGTGGGGGACATATGCCTTGGGCAGCTCTAGTATGCCATCTTCCTCTTACTCTCTCATATTATCAATACCTATTCCTTAACTTCAGTTTATCCTGGTGTACTCCTAATGGAAGCATCAAAGAGAAGCCTACCATTACTTAACTCATTCCTCCCCTCCTTCAGTCTTCACCCAACTGTTTTCCCCTTGATGATGGCATCCTTTATCATTTTGTCAGTCAGAGTTCGATCAGGCAAATAGAACTACTCTTCGCCTATGTAAGACTTTAGTCTTCACATTTGATGCTGGATTTCAGAGGCTACAAAGGAGGCAGCTGGAAAAGAAAGATGGATATAAGGGAGAGGAAATATAAACTGAACTTTCACACAAACTGGAACCCCCTAGAATGAACTGGATCCCATTTCAGTTCTCATTGTCTCTGACCATGATGCCATGGTTATTCTGCATGAGAAACCACTGCCTTTTGTCATGGAGATAAACATACACCTGGACCAGGAACAGTAGAAACTGAAGGAGTATCCAGAAAGGAAAGGTAGGTCAGTTGTAGACCTGACTACTGCCCCATTTGTACAAGTTCAGAAAGCAAAAAGCAACATGCGTGAGCTACAAAAGTGCCCAATGACCTTGCTGCATGCAGCCTTAAGCAAACAAAGATTAACAGAGTTGCTGCTTAATTTCTGCCACTCCATATATTCACAAAACATCTCTTATAAGCTACTCTAATCACAAACATACAGGTGAGAGAATTCCAGGAAAAGTAAACTCAATTTAGTGAAGTTAACACACTACAAAGACAATGCAGTCTACCTTTTCTCACTTGGTACATTATTTAAACATGCTAATATCCAATAAAAACAATAACATCATGCTTCCCCTAAACATGATACAACTTTTGCACTGACTTCAATCACAAGATCTGAGAATATTAAAAGAACCCCTCAGGAGATCACTCATGTTCTAGACATATTTTTCCAAACCCCATTGTGTAGTAGTAGCAACCCCTATTACCATGATTTTGAGAATCAGTTACCCAACCAGGACTGTAACCCCCTTCACTGCCTGTTGATTCATTGGCATGAGGAATTTAAAGTGGTCAAGTTTCAGTCTCAATTTCCAGTTCAGCAGAATCACTATTTTATCATTGGTATAAGTCTTCCTCCTTTTTAGTTTAAGACCTTGCTGTGGATTGAATGAACGCCAAACCCATAGAAAATTAATCCCTACTGAAACAGTATTAAGAGGGTGAGTAATCCTATTATGGTAATTGAAAGTTGGGGCATTTGGAAGGTGATTAGAATGTGAGGACTGTGCCCTGGTGAATGGACTGATTCATGTGTTTAGTAAAAGATCTGGTTTTGATGGCTTTTAAAGAACAGCATGTGAGGAGCTCTCTCTCTCTCTCTTGCTCAGCCTTTTGCCATGTGATATCTTATGTTATTGTACAGCCACCACCAAGAACAAGGCCCTCACCAGATGTATTCCCTGGACTTTGGACTTCCCAGCCTCTAAAACTGTAAGAAATAAATTCTATTGTTCATAAATTGCCCAGTTTCAGGTATTTCTGTTTCAAGCAACAGAAAAGAAGTAATACAGAAAATTGGTACCAGAACAGTGAGTGTTGCTTATAACAATATTTTAAAACATGGAAGTGGTTTGGAACTGGGTGTTGGACAGAAACTGGAAGAATTTGGAGGAGCAAGCTAGAAAAAGCTTTGATGCTGGTAAGAGCTTTGTAGATAACAAAACAAAACAAAACTAAACAGGGAAAGTTTGAAACATCTTAGAGCCTGGTTAAATAGTGGTGAACAGAATGCTGATAGAAATGTGGACTGAAAAGACCATTCTAAGAAATAAGAAGGAGTTTATTGGAAACTGGGGTAAGCATTTCCTTTGCTATGAAGTGGCAGGGAACTTGGCGGCATTCTGTTCATGCCCATAAGTTTCATGAAATGTAGAACTTAAAAGTGCTGAACCAGTGT